AAGTTATTTCTAACGTCTCTGTGGCTCATTTGGGTACTCAGCTTCCACCTGTGTCCCCTTGTTCGCGTCCCACCAGTGTTGAAAAGTTCGTCCTTGTTTACCCGGTCGATTCCCCTGAGGATTTTGTAGGTTGTGATCATGTCCCCCCTTACTCTTCTGTCTTCCAGTGTCGTGAGGTGCATTTCCCGCAGCCTTTCCTCATAACTCATGCCTCTTAGTTCTGGGACTAGTCTAGTAGCATACCTTTGGACTTTTTCCAGCTTCGTCTTGTGCTTGACAAGGTACGGGCTCCATGCTGGGGCCGCATACTCCAGGATTGGTCTTACATATGTGGTGTACAAGAGTGTGTGTGTGTGTGTGTGTGTGTGTGTGTGTGTGTGTGTGTGTGTGTGTGTGTGTGTGTGTGTGTGTGTGTGTGTGTGTGTGCGTGCGTGCGTGCGTGCGTGTGTGTGTGCGTGCGTGCGTGCGTGTAGAACCCCCCCCCCCTCCTCGGGGAGGCCCCTGACCACAATACAGCAGCGGACAGGAGAGTGGGGGGGGGGGCGGGGGGAGGGGGTGCTCTGATAGGGAAGCTCCAAGTTGTGTAACTGTATATAATTGCTTCGCCATGATTGTTGAATTGCGATAATTGCTCGTGCTGGGAGTTAACTACCGTCCTCCATAGTGGTGAGGTCTTTAGCAGAGAGACCGGACGGTGATGCAATGTTTTCGCTTGTGGGGAAACCTACCGGGAAAATTATTATTATTTTCAGAGATTGTATTTATTACTTCTAAGTGGACTGTATTTTATAATTTATTGCCACCAGAATTTATTTATTTATTTATTTATTTATTTATTTACAAGAAGGTACATTGGGGGTTTAAGAGAATACATAGTAATGATCATTTTACATTCTTGTAAAGCCATTAGCACGCATAGCGTTTCGCGCACGTCCTTAATCTAACAGATAATTTGGAGTAGATAATTTCCAGTACAATTTACAATTAATGTTTACAGGAACATCGTAAGAAATTTTGGCACAATATACAAAGATTACAAAGAAAGATTAAGATTACAAAGAAAAATACAATTAATAAAGATTAGATTAATACACAATAATGACAATACACTACAATGACAAAGATTAGTAAGTACATTTGGGTAAAATATGAGGATTATCAGTTGGTTCATTGTAGCACAATTTGAGGATCATTTGAAGGAATAATGCATTAGAATATGCACTCAATATAACATCCATGATATCAGATGATATCAAAGATTACAATAGTAAAAATTACATGGCTTAGGTACATATATTGGGGGATTGGGTAGCACTAGATACCGTGCGAGTTTATAGCACTAGGTAGGAAACTATGAAAATGAAATTAGGTACTTTTTGTTTTTGTTTTTGAATAAGGCAAAAGTTTGACAGCTTTTCAGTTCGTAAGGGAGTGAGTTCCATAGTCTGGGTCCCTTTATTTGCATAGAGTGTTTACACAGATTAAGTTTGACTCTGGGGATATGTTTATTTCTGGTGTAGTGATTATGGGTCCTATTACATCAGTCCAGGGAGAGTTTCAGAGCAGGGTTAGCACTTAAGAACACGGTTTTGTAAATGTAGATGGCATAAGGTATGTGTGGAGTGAGTTTATGATGCTTAACATGTTAAGGGATTTAAAACTAAAAACCAGTAAACTTTCCCTTCACACATTTAGGGGGGGGTTCATATTTTAATATTACCATAATTAAAAGGTAGATACAATAACTATTATGTAGATCACACAACTTTATAAAGAACATCTAAAATGACCTCAGCTGTGTCAGTAGTGTTGACTGGTCATCACACATCAGATACCATTTGTCACGTGAAGTCCTGTGTTTAATGGCGTCTGGGTGGTGTTGGTATAGCCAGCTCGCTACGCATCATGTGCTCTCACTCACCTAGAGGGACGTTACACCGTCATATTTGATGATCACGTATTTGTACAGGTGTTACACATGAACTTAAATTGCTATAATAATGTGGCTTACCCTTTTGTTCGTAGTTATCAAGCCTTGTATCGATTATCCCTAGACAAAATAATTTGCCAATTTAATCTGAACTAATAGAATATCCGGACTGGCACTTACCTTAGTAAGTTACGTAGTCTCGGCAGTAAAGAGTGACTAATTGGAGTCACAGTGCTTTCTAGGACATGCTGAGAGTAAATTGGAGTTGTGTGAGACCCGCTGTGGACACAAGCTCACCACCCACTTATGATTCGCTGCTCCATTACCAGAGGGTGCAGACGTCGGGCTTGAGCTGCCAGTCGTCGTTTGACGTTGCTGAATGGTGGTTCGCTGTTGGAGGTGTGGAGCGCCCACTAGCCGGGGCTATGGCTAGCAGTATGGTGGTGGCCGGTGGCAGCCGTGTTCGACGGGTGGATACTGTACGGCTGGATATTTTTGCTGCAGTGGACTGGTCCATTGTGGAGATTGCTCTCCTGGACGTGCTCTGTGTCGAAGTCTCCGATCTCTTGGGACTGGAGAAGATCTCGCCTACGCGTGTGGCGGTGTCGCTTGTTTACCAGGAGTTTATGGCATGCTGCGATGCACGCTCACGTCCTTTTCCTTCTTCGGCTGTGACTGTAGAGATCTCAGATCCCTGGGGGCCCTTGACTTTTCTGAGTGTTCACAGTGTGCCGGTGACCTTCCCCGAGGCGGAGCTCATGTCGTTGTTTATGCGGTTTAGTGCAGTAGTGAAGCTCCGGTTCACTACTTTGAGTGCGGACCGGCTGACGGGGGTCTGTCTGGGTGCTCGTACACTCGTCATGCGGTCATGCGGGTCATGATCCCTATTCCTTCCAGGGTTTCGTTTCGTGGGCTCTCTCTGCAGATCTTTTATCAGGGTCAAATACGCACCTGTTTCTGGTGTGGTGCTGAGGGCCCCGTGGTGGCCGGATGCGACGCTCCTCGTGCTGAAGCCCCTTCAGTATTCCTGGAGGATGATTTTCCCTGCTTGTCTGTGCGTGGGGATTCCCCAGTGGGTCCTCACTCTGTGGAGGTGCCTGGTGTGGTTCCTGCGGTGGTTACGACTGTCGCTCCATCTGGCCCTGATCTGTCTGCCCTACTGGTAAGCTCTGCGGACCTAGGGGCCCCTGATTTGCGCCTTCGACATTCGGTGGTTTCGGAGGTGTATCCGACTCCAGTTGCTTCCGTGGTGGCATTGGATGGTGCTGTAGGGGTGGTGCCTGCACCTCCTGCTGAAGGATGTGTACTTCCTGGGGCTGCCAGGGTGGTGGTGTGTGTGGCTCCGTCCCCGTCCTCTGCCTCATCGGTTCTGGTGGTTTCCTCGTTAACATGTACCTCTTCTCCTCTGCCGGATCCGACGCCCTCACTGGATCCTTTACATGTGCTTACCCATCCTCCTGCTGTGTCTCTTCCTTCTCCGAATCCGGTCTCCTTGATGGGTGGTGACTTTCTGCCCCATGTTGTTGAGGCTGCCGTTCTGCGTGGTCGTGCTGCTGTGGTGTTGGGGCCGCCTGCCGACGCTTCTTCTTGGGCACCGCTTGCAGAGGGTGACAGTTCCGACGATCAACGGCCTGTTTCTAAGCGCCCTCGTTCGGCTTGGGATGCGTCACCTCGCCGGACGTGGGCTGAGGAGCGTGATGCTATGGATGATGATGCTGTGGGTGGCGTTGTGCTGACTCCTATGGTGCCTTCTGTGTTGGACCCTGTGCTCCCTGCTGGTGGCTCTCCTCAGTGGGCGGTTGCCCCTGGTGATTGCGATCTCGTAGTGTTGTCGAAGGATGTGCGACGGGGGACCTCTGCTCCTGTTCTGATTGCTTGGGGGCCCTGGAGCTTCTGCGGGTCCACCCTTCCCAGAGCTCAGTGCGACGCCCGGCGTAGAATGAAGTGCACGCCCTAGTGGGCGGCCCGATGTGCAGTGCAGTGTGCTTCCAAGTGTGTGGCCCTGTGACCGGCCACCTAGGGAGAACCCTTCCCTTTTGTCCTCCTATCTGAAGAGGTGTGTGATAGCTCTACTTCTATGAGTTTTGAGTGTGATGACCTGGTTCGTCCTGTTCCGTGGTCCCCTTCTACCATCTGGGTTCCATGGCGTGGTGTTTTATCATTGGCGTGCCGGATTTGATGCCTCGGCTTACTGCGACTCCTGGACGTCCAGTTGCTGAAGACGACCTAGCTGTTTGGGATGCTTACTGCTTATGATTTCCGGCTCGGGAGTACCCGGATAAGTATGAGTGATAAGTGTGGTTGGTTTCTGTCTGTGTTGTGCGTGTTGTTTCCCCAGTGCCTGCGTACACAGGTGGGTGTCCTTGTCTGTGCGTGTGTGTGGTGTGGGTGTTTGTTCCTGGCTCCTGCGAGTGTGTGTGGTGTGGGTGTATGTTCCTGGCTCCTACGTGGGCCTGTTCTGATGTGTTTGTAATTTGTTTTGTGCTTTGCCTTTGTTCTGTATTTGTGTTTGTGTTGTGCTTGTGTGTGGCTGTGGGTGTTTGGTGTTCTTTCTTTCCTGTCCTTGCATGCGCCCCGTTTGTTGGGGTGGCGGGCGTGTTGGTGTAGGGTGGTGTGGTTGTGGGTTGTGTGTTGCTGTTCCATGTGTTTGTCGCATGGGTGGTGTGTGTGTGTTTATTTCTTTGTCCTTGTAATTGCTATATTCTTTGTACATATTTTATGCTATTTATGTTCTTATGTGTATTTTTGGGGTTTACTCTATTCAGAGATTTGAGCAAGGGTACCGAGTGATGTCTGGGGCCAGATTGAGATACTGTCCTAATAGCAGCTTTGTGTTGAGTAATTAGAGGATGTAAATGATTTTGGGTAGTAGAACCCCGAGCACAAATACCATAGTTGAGATAAGGATAGATGAGAGAATAATAGTGTGTCACCAGGGCAGGGCGTGGTACATAATATCTGATCTTAGAAAGAATGCCAACAGTTTTTGAAACTTTTTTTTATATATTTAGAATGTGGCAGGTATGCTGCCATGAATAATAGGAGTGGCAGGTATGTTGCCGTGAATAATATGGGTGGCCGGTATGCTGCTGTGAATAATATGGGTGGCCGGTATGCTGTCATGAATAATAGGGGTGGCAGGTATGCTGCCGTGAATAATATGAGTGACAGGTATGCTGCCATGAACAATATAGGTGGCAGGTATGCTGCCATGAACAATATAGGTAGCAGGTATGCTTCCATTAGTAATATGGGTGGCAGGTATGCTGCCATGAATAATATGGGTGGCAGGTATGCTGCCGTGAATAATAGGGGTGGCAGGTGAACTGCCATGAATAATATTTGGCAGGTGTGCTGCTGTGAATAATATATCCTAACACCTGAAATTACTTCCTAAAAAGTATAATGTTATCAGGGTTAGTAAATGATTAATAGATTGTAGATAGCCTAACTTCTGACTATATTCTACTAATTATACTGGTCATAAAATCAGTAAATTATTGATGTGTTAATTATGGTTTATCCGGTTCGAAGGACCAAAAAGGATGTGGGAAAGTCTAGCTCCAAAATATTAATAACAATGATTAATTTCAATACTACGAAGGACCACCCTTTTTATTTAAAAAAAGGAAATTAAATGAAACAATTAATATTGAAATAAATCCAAGAAACAGTGCCTATGGATCTTGAAAATAGTTGATCATATGCTAAGATTACTCAGAGAAATATTAGAATGTTAATGAACTGTAGAATAATAATTAAATTACAGAGCAGACTCACATACAAACTTTGGGGGTTAATCGAGTGCAATTAACTAGTGCATTAAGAGCACCATAAATTCAATACTATTGCACATCATATTTATGAGAATAAAATATGAAATATAATAATAAATCTCATGGTAAATGTAAATGGTTAGTAGGACATATGATCTTATAGTAAAGATCAAAATTAACTAAATGTTAATGAAAACTACTAATAATTGATAACAGCTTAGCTGAATGGTAGGAATAGATGAATGATGATATGGGGCAGTCGCATCCACATGCTTGTTGTAACATGCTGTCCGATAACACGCAGAGAGGGGAAGGTTATCTCTCATCTTGTCACTATGGCTCCAGCTGAAACCTAATTTAATATGAAAAGGATGCCTATACCAAAGTGAGTATACCACTATTTCTGAATGAAAAGTGGAAACCTGAGCGAGAATAAGACTAACTTTTGATATTTGGTTGTCTCACATCCTGACGACGAGCTACCAACCCATTTGCTAATCAGTGCACTAACAAACAAACATCAGTTGGAATTCAATTTTATTATGCTCGCCGGGATGAGTGTTGTTTGCAGGCGGAGTCACTCTCAAACCCTGGCACTTGCTGCTGCAAAGATGATGGAATCACGGGCCGATGCAAATGCGAACTCTTAGACACTGCTACGTATCAGCAAGATGGCTGCTGTCGCTCTCTCCTTCCTCCCAGTCTCATCCGCGCATGCGCAATGATACGGAGAATATTGTGGAGAAATTTTCTCCTAATAATTTCTCAACCATGTGAGACATTAAGACTAGGGTTTGTTATAAGGAAGGTAATATTAATTGCATTCTCGCCGTATAACAATTAATATGAAACTGTGTTTATATGGACAAAAATGGCTGGAGAAATTCATTCCTCCATGTTAGTTCTGGGATAACAGATTAAAGGGGCTAAAAGAGGTTAAATTGTGATCTTCAGCTAATAATGTGCTGTTATTTGGTTGTTGATTGACATAGTGCCAGTTAATACTTGTTAGGAAAGAATACTTATATGAAGTAAGAATAGGACTTAATTCTCTGAAATGAAGATGTTATCTTTCCCTCTGTTAAGTTGCTGGACGCAACCACGCCACGAAGTAGGAAAGATTTGGCGAATAATTGTGCAGTAGGAAAGGTTTTAATATTGTTAATCTACAAGTTAGTAATATTAGTAAATTACTGTTATTAGAACAGTGATAATTTATTGAAGTACTAAAAATAATGAATAAGTGTTGGATATTTCCAACACTGCCACCACATGACTCACTCTGACCATTTAGGTCCCCCGCTACATGACTCACTCTGACCATTTAGGTCCCCCGCTACATGACTCACTCTGACCATTTAGGTCCCCCGCTACATGACTCACTCTGACCATTTAGGTCCCCCGCCACATGACTCACTCTGACCATTTAGGTCCCCCGCCACATGACTCACTCTGACCATTTAGGTCCCCCGCTACATGACTCACTCTCAGAGTATTCAGGATTTTAACAAAAAATTGTTCAAACAAATCCCAAATAACTAAATTTTGTGCAGGTAAATGCTGTAGTTGATTCACATTTTAATGGTTTAAAAGTTACGGTCCGGGTAGTTCACCGCCATGGCTGTGCCACGCTGGGGGTGAGTGGGGAGGCTGTGCCACGCTGGGGGTGAGTGGGGAGGCTGTGCCACGCTGGGGTGAGTGGGGAGGCTGTGCCACGCTGGGGGTGAGTGGGGAGGCTGTGCCACGCTGGGGGTGAGTGGGGAGGCTGTGCCACGCTGGGGGTGAGTGGGGAGGCTGTGCCACGCTGGGGGTGAGTGGGGAGGCTGTGCCACGCTGGGGGTGAGTGGGGAGGCTGTGCCACGCTGGGGGTGAGTGGGGAGGCTGTGCCACGCTGGGGGTGAGTGGGGAGGCTGTGCCACGCTGGGGGTGAGTGGGGAGGCTGTGCCACGCTGGGGGTGAGTGGGGAGGCTGTGCCACGCTGGGGGTGAGTGGGGAGGCTGTGCCATGCTGGGGGTGAGTGGGGAGGCTTGCCACGCTGGGGTGAGTGGGGAGGCTGTGCCACGCTGGGGGTGAGTGGGGAGGCTGTGCCACGCTGGGGGTGAGTGGGGAGGCTGTGCCACGCTGGGGTGAGTGGGGAGGCTGTGCCACGCTGGGGTGATTGGGGAGGCTGTGCCACGCTGGGGGTGAGTGGGGAGGCTGTGCCATGCTGGGGTGAGTGGGGAAGGTTGCCACGCTGAGGGTGAGTGGGGAGGCTGTGCCACGCTGGGGTGATTGGGGAGGCTGTGCCACGCTGGGGGTGAGTGGGGAGGGTTGCCACGCGGGGGTGAGTGGGGAGGGTTGCCATGCTGGGGTGAGTGGGGAGGGTTGCCACGCTGAGGGTGAGTGGGGAGGGTTGCCATGCTGAGGGTGAGTGGGGAGGGTTGCCATGCTGGGGTGAGTGGGGAGGGTTGCCATGCTGAGGGTGAGTGGGGAGGGTTGCCATGCTGGGGTGAGTGGGGAGGTTTGCCACGCTGGGGGTGAGTGGGGAGGGTTGCCACGCTGGGGTGAGTGGGGACGCTGTGCCACGCTGGGGGTGAGTGGGGAGGGTTGCCATGCTGAGGGTGAGTGGGGAGGGTTGCCATGCTGGGGTGAGTGGTGTGCGGAATTTCCCAGCAGATAAATTTATTAATATAACTAATTATGTTATATGGACTATATTAAAGAAGTGGACTGTATTATTTAATTTTAACTTCTACTGGGTTTTACCCTAAACATATATCCTGGAGAGGTTATTCAGTAGTAATTATAATCATTAGTTATATATCAGTAAGAAATGTTATAGGATTAGTCACTAACTACTGAAACTAGTGTAAGCTTAGCTGATTAGGAGGCTTCAAAATGAATTATCTGGAGAACGTCAGAAGGGTTAGGCAAGACAAGGGTTCCGTAGCCGGCACTCGAGTCACGTGTTGCCATAGAAGTTAACCCCAAGTTCTCAGCTGATCACCTGCTTCTGAGGAAAAGTTTACAACGTAAACACTGTAAAGCAAATATCCTCACAGCTAATCTCAAATCCGTAGTAATTATTCCCTAGTTACACATGTGCTCACCATGGAGATTTTGATTTATATGCAGCTTAATCGGACGGTCACTCAAATACCTGGTTATATGGCCATACATCAATGACTGAGTATATGTAACCGACTGGATACCGTGTGCTTTGTAGTCTGAATGTTGCAGTAGCGTTAGAACGTTGTAGAACAACGGATGACTTAGATATCCGTCGCTGCTAATTTGCTTCCCCCGTGATCGAGACTTGATCCTCTCAGATCCTTTGCACAAATGCGTCTTCCTCCTCCTATTGAAGTGTGTCACAATGATAGTCATGCTACTAATTTTAACTCGTTCATTAACTAGAACAGTTAGGCAGTATTGTACGCTTTAACGAATTGATTCTTATTAATTATTATTATTATTGTCCGTAATGCTGGACTAGAAGTATGTGGGGTTTAAAGTACACTTGATATGTGCTTAACTCGTGACGTGACTTGTGACTTGTGCCGTGCTATCTCACCGGCAGTGAGATAGCATTCACAGTTGCCGTAATTTACTTCGGGTGGAAGATTATATTAATTCTTTCTAAGTTTTAGTTAATTCCAGTCTAAAATAAGGTTTTTCTAATTTAAAGAGAATAATAGACCGGAAATATTAATAATATAAGAAGATTAATAATAGCGCTGCTTCGATGCTGGCTGACGCAATCATTATATACATTTTCTGAGGGATTTTTAGATTTTTCCTAACAGGAAATTAATAAGGTTAGTAGTGTTAATTCCCTGATACAACGATTTTAGCTAATCGTATCAGGTGCTAGTAGTTTGGGGGCCGAAAGTTTCCGACAAGTGTGGAGGGTTGCCACGCTAGGGGCTAGTGGGGAGGAGTGTTGTGTGAGTGGGGAGGGTTGCCACGCTAGGGGCTAGTGGGGAGGAGTGTTGTGTGAGTGGGGAGGGTTGCCACGCTAGGGGCTAGTGGGGAGGAGTGTTGTGTGAGTGGGGAGGGTTGCCACGCTAGGGGCTAGTGGGGAGGAGTGTTGTGTGAGTGGGGAGGGTTGCCACGTTGGACGTGAGTGGGGAGGGCACCAAGCTGGGGATGAGTGGGGAGGGCACCAAGCTGGGGATGAGTGGGGAGGGCACCAAGCTGGGGATGAGTGGGGACGGTTGCCACGTTGGACGTGAGTGGGGAGGAACAAAGTAGAGGGAGTGATGAAATATCTTTGCGATTGGAGGGTGAGGCAGGAGGAAGGATGACAGGAGGGACCCTAGTACTCACACCGGGGGCCCAGCTACCCACACCATGGGCCCAGCTACCCACACCGGGGGCCCAGCTACCCACACCGGGGGCCCAGCTACCCACACCATGGGCCCAGCTACCCACACCATGGGCCCAGCTACCCACACCGGGGGCCCAGCTACCCACACCGGCGGCCCAGCTACCCACACCGGGGACCCAGCTACCAACACCGGCGGCCCAGCTACCCACACCATGGGCCCAGCAACCCACACCAGGGCTCCTGTACCAGATGGTCACCCAGGCTCTCCTGCTACTCAACGCCACCAGCGTCATCATCATGACTCCGCGAGATGCTGGTAAGTGCTTCACTCACCTGCTAATACAAATGACTCCTAACACAACCAACCCACATAACCACACCTATTCCTAACTCTTCCCAAAATTATAATTGTCAATCATTAATATTAACTTATATTCTAAATAATATAGTTGTCCGTTACACAATACGTTAATATTTAAGAATTTGCCTTTGGGCTGGAACACAGGTAGTGGGGGCTGGGAATGTATACCGTGGTGTATATACCCTGCTTCTTGGTGTATACACATTTGCAAGTTTACTTAAGTCCTGTAGTATATTCGGTACTAATTTATACCTTCTGGCTGTGCAGTAAGCTGTTGTAGTGGCTTTAATAATCCTTCCTCAGACGTTAGGCTTCACGTCCAACACCAAACTGTCTTATGGAGCTTTATTTCCTGTTCCATTTGTGGGTCTCCAATTTGTAAGCTTTTATATTGAAGGTGAAGTCTTAAACCTCGGAGGTTGTTTTCATCAATATATTCATTATTCACTTTTGATTCGTTATTATTCATAAATATTTAGTCGATATATTTTGTCTACCATGTTGTGCTCTGTGTGGTGTGGCTCCCGGACACAGGTGTCGTGGGGCGCGTGTGGACTGCCGGCCTCAGCACCCAGATCCTCCGCCACCATCACCTCTCACCATTTGCTGCACGTCTGTCCAACCCAGGTACACCTGACCAGGTGTGTCACCACCTGCTTAAAAGGTATAAGAGGTGAACATATGTTGAACAGTGTTGGAAATGAAGGTAGATTGATGAATACAGGTTAGACGGATGGATGACTGGAAAAGGAAGGTATAAAGTTAGGCACAAAAGTCATACGCAGAAATAGACATACAGTTGAATGAACAAAAATAGGTAAATATATACGAGTAAATATTGTCAGTGGAGGAAACGTATAAGACATCTTGTGAGTCCATCCTTGCACTCATAAGAGTCTCCTTCCTGGCCTCAAGTCCACACACACACACACACACACACACACTTGAAGAAATCATTCATAAACGAATATCCTTTTGTCTGAAGGTGATGACCCATCCAGCATCCTTCATAAGATCGTTTTTCAACACATCCCTATATCACCGGCCTCTCAAACTATGCCAGAAGCATCAATTTGATTGTTAGGAACACAACATTGGGTGACGTACACAATAGTGGAGGAGGTCCACAGGAGAGAGTAACTAGGCGGCAGAGGAAGCCGCGAGACCCCAGCTGGATATTTGACATCATTAAGGAATAATGGTCATAAATAGATGGCTTGTTGACAATCGTGTTATTTATCCTGTTGCAGCTGACTCCGTGCTGCAGACGTGTTGAGTTACCTCCAGGCTTACCTCTCGATGATGAGTCACTTGTTGATGTACAATGATGAGTCACTTGTTGATGTACAATGATGAGTCACTTGTTGATGCACAATAATGAGTCACTTGTTGATGCACAATGATGAGTCACTTGTTGATGCACAATGATGAGTCACTTGTTGATGCTCAATGATGAGTCACTTGTTGATGCACAATAATGAGTCACTTGTTGATGCACAATGATGAGTCACTTGTTGATGTACAATGATGAGTCACTTGTTGATGTACAATGATGAGTCACTTATTCATTAACAATGATGAGTCACTTATTGATGTACAATGATGAGTCACTTATTGATGTACAATGATGAGTCACTTGTTGATGTACAATGACGAGTCACTTGTTGATGCACAATGATGAGTCACTTATTGATGTACAATGATGAGTCACTTATTGATGTACAATGATGAGTCACTTATTGATGTACAATGATGAGTCACTTATTGATGTACAATGATGAGTCACTTATTGATGTACAATGATGAGTCACTTATTCATTAACAATGATGAGTCACTTATTGATGTACAATGATGAGTCACTTATTCATTAACAATGATGAGTCACTTATTGATGTACAATGATGAGTCACTTATTCATTAACAATGATGAGTCACTTATTGATGTACAATGATGAGTCACTTATTCATTAACAATGATGAGTCACTTATTGATGTACAATGATGAGTCACTTATTCATTAACAATGATGAGTCACTTATTGATGTACAGTGATGAGTCACTTATTCATTAACAATGATGAGTCACTTGTTGATGCACAGTGATAAGTCTGTGACAGTTTCTATAATTTCAGGTTATATTTAAGGTGTTATTTTTCATGTCATACATCCAAATTATTTTCTACTTTAAAATAGGTCATTTGTTAGATTTATAATATTTTTGTAAAGTATCTCTTGATGTCAGTAAATTATATAAAAATAATCTATATATTCCACACACACACACACACACACACACACACACACACACACACACACACACACACACACACACACACACACACACACACATACTATACCCCACCTCCTCTCTTACCCCCATCTGACCTGACCTGACCTGGTCGCCTCCACCGCCCCCCCACCCCCCAGTCCCCCGCATCCCCCGTACACATACTCTCCCCCTCTCTCTCCTCTCTCTCTCCCACTTTCTCCTCTCTCTCCCACTCTCTCCTCTCTCTCTCCCAATCTCTCCTCTCTCTCTCTGTCTCTCTCTCTCTCTCTCTTTCTCTCTCTCTCTCTCTCTCTCTCTTTATCTCTCTCTCTCCTTATCTCTCTCTCTCTCTTCTCTCTCTCTCTCTCTCTCTCTCTCTCTCTCTCTCTCTCTCTCTCTCTCTCTCTCTCTCTCTCTCTCTCTCTCTCTCTCTCTCTCTCTCTCTTTATCTCTCTCTCTCTCCCTCCCTCTCTCTTTATCTCTCTCTCTCCCTCCCTCCCTCTCTCTCTCTATCTCTCTCTTTATCTCTCTCTCTCTTTATCTCTCTCTCTCTTTATCTCTCTCCCTCCCTCCTCTCTCTCTCTCTATCTCTCTCTTTATCTCTCTCTCTCTCTCTCTCTCTCTCTCTCTCTCTCTATCTCTCTCTTTATCTCTCTCTCTCTTTCTCTCTCTCTCTCCCTCCCTCTCTCTTTATCTCTCTCTTTATCTCTCTCCTTCCCTCCCTCTCTCTCTCTATCTCTCTCTTTATCTCTCTCTCTCACTCTCTCTCCCTCTCTCTCTATCTCTCTCTCCCCCACCCCGCTCTGCCCTTCTGACGAATCCTATCACGGCACAACTAGGAACAGGATCAAGCATGACAGCCAGAAGCAACAGGGGGAACAGGGAAAAGTTCAGGCAAAGAAATGAAGGAAATGTTTGCCCAGTTTCTGGAGGACATCAAGAGTGATATGCAGGAAATGATACAGGAAATGAAGAATAAAATAAGCAACCTAAAAAGAGAGCTGACAGCAGCAAAGGAGGAGATTGAAGCCCTCAAAGAGAATAGTATCGATGCTGAGACTCAGATAACCACCCAGGGAGAAGGTGGTAATAGTACTTTGGAAGAGAATGCCACATTAAAAGCAACCTTTGCAGAAATGCTAAAAAACAACAACTCTGAAGTAATGTCTGCAGTGATGGAGGTAGCCATGAAAGCAGCCACCTCACAGGAAGTGGCACGCTCCACTAGCCAGCTGCTGGAAAGGAAAAGAGCAGTGGTAGCTGTAGGTATTAAAGAGCAGGAAGGCTCTAATAGGAAAGAGTGGAATGATAAGGACAAAGCAGCAGTGAATGAAATACTGAAGGCACTAGACATGGAAGGGGCTGAGCATAGCATTGAGAAGGTTTTCAGGTTAGGCTGGTACAAAAAAGACCGAGACCGTGTGTTAAAGATAGTATTTGCAAATGAGAACACAAAGGACACGATTCTAACAAAGAAAAGCCACCTGCAACATGTGGGAGAATAAAAAAAATATTCCTCCAGAGGAACATGACGAAGGAGGAGAGGGACATGGCGGCAGAAGCAAGGAAGAAGCGCAGGGCGAGAGGGGAAAACCATGAAACCATAGCTCCCAACACATCACCCCCAGAGGCGAGGGGGGAACCCACAACCAGCTACCCAGTAACACCAGCGGGGAGGGCAACCCCACCATCCTCCTCTGCATAGAAAACCCCCCTTTCCTTCCTGTCCTCCCGCCCCGTTCACCCCATACCCTCCCTGTCCTTTCCCCTTCACTTGACCCCCTACCCCTCATCCCAGTATCCTCTACAACCCTGGTATCCACCTCACAAATCCTCACACCCATGGCACAGCTTCCTCCACCTGCAGAACATTCCCCAAGGAGGAGATTTGAGAAGGGACAGAAGAAAGTGAACCTCAAGGCAATGTACACTAACATAGACGGTATTACAAATAAAGCGAATGAACTTGGAGAATGGGTACTAGAGGAAAACCCAGACATAATACAGAAATGTGTTTCTCTCACAGAAACAAAGCTGACGAAAACAATAACAAATGCAGTGTTCCCACAGGACTATTATGTTACGAGGAAAGAGAGAGAAGGAAGAGGTGGGGGTGGTGTAGCTCTGCTGGTAAGAAAAGGCTGGGATTTTGAGGAGTTGGTTGTTCAGGGATGTGAAGGTTTCAGTGACTACATAATAGGAACAATAACAACTGGAGGGCAAAAAATTATAGTCGTAGTCATTTATAATCCACCACCAAATGACAGAAGACCCAGACAGGAATATGATAGAAACAATATGGCCACCATTAAAATAATGAAAGAGCAACTTCTATTGCTAGTAGGAATGGATCTGGACTACTAATCATGGGAGACTTCAACCATGGGAAGATAGATTGGGAGAACAGAGACCCGCATGGAGGACCAGAAACATGGAGAGCTAAGCTGCTGGACGTGGCAACAAGAAACTTTCTAAGCCAGCACATCAAGGATCCAACAAGAATGAGAGGAGAGGATGAACCAGCAATGCTTTACCTGATATTTACCCTAAATGAGTGGGATATAAGGAAAGTCAAGATGGAAGCACCCTTGGGAATGAATGATCACAGTGTACTGAACTTTGAGTACCTTGTACAGCTAGGAATTATCCTCCCCCCCCCCAAAAAAAAAAAGAACTAGGAAACAAAAGGCTGGCATACCGAAAGGGAAATTATGAGGAGATGAGAAGCTTCCTAAGGGAAATACCTTGGGACACAGACCTCAGAGCTAAGTCTGTACAAGATATGATGGACTATGTCACCCAAAAGTGTCAGGAGGCAGTAAGCAGATACATCCCGGCCCAAAAGGAAAAATCCGAGAAGCAAAAGAAGAATCCATGGTATAATAGGGCATGTATGGAAGCAAAAAAACTGAACAAAAGGGCGTGGAGGAACTTCCGGAATAACAGAACACCAGAAAGCAGAGAGAGATACCAGAGAACCAGGAATGAGTATGTCAGGGTGAGAAGAGAAGCAGAGAAAAGTTATGAAAATGATATAGCAAACAAAGCCAAGACCGAACCAAAGCTACTCCACAGTCACATCAGAAGGAAAACAACAGTGAAAGAACAGGTAGTGAAACTTAGAACAGGCAAGGACAGGTATACAGAGAATGACAAAGAGGTGTGTGATGAGCTCAACAAGAGGTTCCTAGAGGTCTTCAAAACAGAACAAGGTGAGGTCACTGTGCTAGGAGAAAGGGAAGTAAACCAGGCGGCCTTGGAAGAGTTTGAAATTACGAGAGAGGAGGTCAAGAGACACCTGCTGGACCTGGATGTTAGAAAGGCTGTTGGTCCAGACGGAATCTCGCCATGGGTACTG